ACCAATGTGTGGTCAGAAAATAAAATGTTGTATTCTATTGAATTTGTTACCCCCAAGAGAATGTTGGTTGGGAACGTAGCTTTGGATGTACGTCTATATGAAATAAACTGGGACTCATTCAGTCGGAAATTGTGTAAGAAACAAGAATAAAATTAGAAAGTAGCACGGGACCGAACATTTGTTTAATCGTTATTGAATTATACTATGATGTGTCAAATTCGGAACTTGAAATAAACGGTGAATAATGTAGCTAAAATCATCCAAATATAGAATATAGGGAGGTACGTTATATGGCTGTAGTATCTATTTCGAACTTCAAATACTTAATTTAAAACTATTCCGGTGAATAATGTCGCTGAAATCATCGAAATACCGAATATTGGGAGGTACCGTTATATATGGGCTATACGAAGACTTGGACCTGCACAGACAATTTTCTGTTTTAGGCTGTAGTATCCATTTCAAACTTCAAATACCAAATTTGAAACAATTCCGGTGAATAATGTCGCTAAAATCATCAAAATACTGAATATCGGGAGGTACCGTTATATGGGGGCTATATGAAAACGTGGACCTGCATGGCCCATTAACGAACTTAACCTGCCTACTGTAAAAATAAACCTGTGTGCAAAATTTTAGCCTTGTATCTCAATTCGTTCGAAAGATAGCGTGATTACAACAGACAGACAGACGGACATCGCTAAATCGACTTAGAATTTTACGCTGATCAAGAATATATATACTTTGTTGGGTCTGACATGAGTATTTCGGGGAGTTACAAACGGAAAGACAAAGTTAATATACCCTCCATAGTATGGTGGAGGGTATAAAATTCAGCTGTGTTTTCAGATGGGGATATAATAGAGGTTCTATATCATCAACCCTGTTAAAAACAAGAATTGTCATTGTGTGCGTGAGAGTAACAGTATATGCGCTGTAAGAAATGGTAGGAAAGATATAAATGGTCTCACGGTAAAATGAAAAAAAAAATGTTGCGCAAAAAAAGCAAAGCATTTTAAATCAAGAGCAATTTTGTAGATAGCATTAAATATACTGTCAATACTGTTTCGAGTTTATGAGTTGCAGACATTTTTGTATGTTTTTGCAAGAGAATAAATTCAATTTGATACATATCACGAACTTTTAATTTTGGAAAATTATTGTTTTTTTTTTACTTTGCAAGAAAAATGTTTTATTTATTAGCAAAGAAATGTAAGGAAATAGTTGAAATGCACTTAAAACTAATGTTTATATCTTACTAAATTTAATTATATTTCAATTTCAAAATTATATAATTCAGTGGATGCTCAAATAATTCTCAAAGACCAAAATAAAATCAAATAATATTAAGATATAGAGTGCGTTTTAAACGAAATTATATGAAAATAACTTAAATTGGATGGAATCATTCAGTATACTTTAGTTAAAAATATGGGAATATGAAATAAAAGATGGAATTCATCAATTAAGTTAAATAATGTAAAGTAATACCACTTTTCATTAAATATATTTATATACCAAACGTATATGTCAAAAATGTATGTATCATTTAGCAATGTCGTCTTGCATTCAAAATTTCTAGAATATAGAATAAAAAAAACTTAAAATGTGTCCTGAGTGTTTGAATAACAGTTAATTTTATAAATATTGCGAATATTTACTACAATACTTGTAAGTTTTGGAAAAGCATATCAACTCATACAATGTATAATTTTCACAAATTAAGGGAGCTAATTAAGACTGCTGCAATAAAAGGAACGCCAGCATTTCTTATTATGCTCCTCAGCTGTGTTGTTCGCAAATATAAGTTGAGGCAAAATATGATACACATTTATATGAAATATCTTTTAGATAAGGATAATTATTTTTGTCGATACTTTTCCAAAAGTTATGAATCAATTCCGTTTGATATAGTAGCGGGTATTGAGACATATCACATGTAAATGGATTTTATTCTGTTGTACTTTTCCATTTTTTCAATTCTAAGAACTCCATTATTTTATTCTTTAAAGTAAATAATCGGTTTAGACAATCACCTTGACTTAACCACCGTACCTCACTGAACTGGCAGTACATAAAATGCATTTTGACCGGCTTAAGTCATCGGCAGGCTTCTTCGTAGAGGAAGAAATGACTTTTAGGTTGACTTAGTTTGATGTCGGCTCTAGGCCAGCCAGCCGATGACTTAAGCCTGTCAAAAAAGCGTTTTATGTATTCTCATCTTAAGATCAATCTATTTGAAATATCTAAAACCGACGGTAGGTTAACATCTATTATAATTTTTGAATGAATAATTATTTAATTATTTTTAAATTTAATAATTATTATAGTAAGAAGTTAAATATAATATAGGCTATGTTTGTGTAAAATTTCGTCTGTGAAGGTCATACAGCACGAACGAGATAATGCACATTCTTAAAAAAATTAGTGGAAACGTCTAATTTAAAAGACTCGTTACCATATTAAATTTAACAAATTTTCAACAGATTCTTTTTAAAACATTAAATAACTGTTATAGGAACTGTTTGGACGAGAATATTATTGTAAAATACTCATAGTTGTGCGATTTTTTATGATGCCGACTTCTGGAATAGAAAAAAATATGGATTTGCCTAAAGTCAGCATGTGGGTGGAAAAAATGCCTTTTAGACGTTATAACTAAAATTGAGTGTTTCCAAAGATTGAATACATTAACATAAAATTAAAATAACTCCTGGGGAGAATATTCCAGACAAAAAAAGCAGGGAACTGATGAGGATTGGTGGCTCTTTCCGCAAAATTAGGTATTCCTTACCTTACCCCTGGTAAACAATACCATCTTTCTCCACTAATAAAACGTTTTTTTTTTATAAAAACCACAATAATAGGATTGTGCCTAACTATTTTACAACAACATAATTGAAATTAAGAAATAAAATGATTATGGTTGGTTAGTTCACAGTTAGGACCATTTAAAAACTGAAATGTCTGCAATCTTTAAAACTAAAAGGTACACCTTACAAAAAAATTTACAAATTTAATAAAAAGTGATTCAACCTTTGTTTACTATTTCGAAAACTAAACAAAATTTCGAACCTGAATAAAATTACTTTGTTGTAATTAAAGCATTCCATTTTCACACTTCATCTAAAAAATTTTATCGAAAATATAACATTCACCAAAAATTCTGTTAACATTTTAAAAATACCGAATATACGACGTGCACCTACATAGGCATTGTTTGCCACAAGCCATTACCATATTCAAATTCGAAATTTGAAATAAACGGTGAATAATGTAGCCAAAATCATAAAAATACCGTACATAGGGAGGTACCGTTATATCGGAGCTATACGAAGACCTAGACCTGTATAGACAATTTTCTGTCACAAGCTGTAGCTGTTCCATTACGAACTTCAAATACGACATGTCAAACAATGTCGGTGAGTATTGTACCTAAAATCGTCAAAATACCGAATATAAGGAGGTACTGATATGTGGGTCCTATACGCCCAGACTGTAGTTCCCATTACGAACTTTAAATACGTAATTTGAAACTACTACGGTGAATAAAGACGCTAAAACCATCAAAATACCGAATATTGGGAGGTACCGTTATATGTCTGATGAAGGGAAATATGTCTGATGAAGCAAATAGTGGTTAGTGGGTCATAGTGTTCACCTGCTTTTCTATTTCCACTGCAAATTTCTTATCGTAAAGCTTATCTCAAATTGCCCAGGTCCTAGAAATTATGTTGCTAAAAATTATTTTTTTTTTGTAGCGCTATACACGGCGAATCTCTCTTCTCTTTAATAATGGTTCCCAATGGTTTTCATGGTGCTATTTAAATTTCATGGACTTAAATTTTAAGAAATGGAAACATATGTGCTTTTCACGATCTACTCGTTTATCAACTGTGTATAATATTAACGGGAATTGAATCGGTGCAAAAACAATTTCTGCTTTTTGCGCTGAGGGATTTTCATGGGAGCAGTTGCTTTGCATTACCGCCCTATACTAACAGACTAAAATTAATTCGATTACCTACATTAAATAGTGGACGTATTATGTTCAATACCATAATGGCCTTCGGATAAATGATAACGTGCCTTCGGACTCTCTTATTTCTTCTTTCAAAATTAATATCCCATTTAGATTAAGCAGGTATTATCAGTTTTTAAATATTGATTTTCACCGAACTAATTACTGTATGGGTGAAGCTATAAGTAGAATGTGTCTAGACTTCAATTCTTTGTATGATGTGGTAGATTTTGGTATTGGTATTGAGATAATAAAGTCTAGAATAATTATCTATCTAAAAGAGTAACAATAGATTTTTTCCAAGGGCTGATGAAGTATTTTCTGTAACTGGTATTTCAATGCTTACTAATTTTCCACCATGGTACGGATCATGGTGAGTACGCGATCCCTACGTAATGGGGAGGTCACCCCCACGGTAGGTTGGGGTGGGAAAGAGTGGCGTTGGGAACGTTCGAAAAAAAAATCAAAAACATTAGCATGTACATAGAATACATAAATGTCATCGGTGTTCAAAACTTTAAGTTTTTGTTTTCTTATATAAGAATTCTCCTGCACGACATTGCAAGGGAAATTTTTCAAAATCATTACGAAATAATTTCATTGCATGTGAAATTAAAAATGCATTGGTTTTGTGGTTTTCCATCGTTATGAATTCATTTACTTATTTATTCGTTATTAGTTCCATTATCGTGTTTACTTTCAATATATATTATTAATTATACATTTGAAAAAAATCTATTTACTCAAATTTATATTTATTTATTTTTTCTTTTTATATAAACAAATTTTGTTATTGCATAAAATGCAGTGTGAAAAAGCACAAACAAACTAACATAAGAGTGTACGATGATTATTAGATAAGATTATTTTTAAATTGTATAAAAAAGAAAATTATTTGTTATTAGCTGACATTCAGGACAAACAACTGAGACTCAGTTTCGGGAAATTGGCACAAAAATGGAAATGAGAAGCTGAGACAAAAACTTAAATCTATTTATTATTAATGAAAAGTGTGCATACATAAAACACAAAGATAATAAAACACAAATACATATTGAAAGAAAACTACAAAAATATATAAATTATTGTCACAAAAGTAAAAAATGTACCAAAGATAGGATATCTATTATAGTTTATGTTCATATATCCATGACAGCACACACACACTTCGCCTCGTTGTTGGCATTCTTTAATAATGACCGATTTGTTTTCAACAACTTTTTGAATATCTCAACTAATGTTTATCCCTATGTATGGGTATAATGCAGCTACGTATGTGTGCTGGAAGGAGAACTCTGTGTGTGATTGCTTAAAATAAGTAAATTAATGAAATCAACACATGTTTGTGTATTTATTTTCGTTTGATGTTGTTGGTTTGTTGCAGTTTTGTTGTGTTGGTTAGATCAAGGTTAAAAAGTTTGTATGTATGAACGAGTGTAAATATTGTGTCTATTTTCAGTTTGATTTTAGTAGTAAATACCGATAGGATACGTCTGGTATTAAATAAAGAAAACAACATCTAAGGACCGCATAACGCCCCTCTAAAAACTGTGTTGTTTATGAGCGCGGCTCTTATCCGAAAATCTTTTCGAAGCAAGTGTGGCAGTAGGGTTTATCTTTTTGTTCTTTAAATGTACCCTTGTTGAGTTGTTTCAAACAGAAGGCACAGACAAAATGTTCCGGATGGAATTTCTTAAACATGGCTGTTATACAACGACCAGTGATGGGCTTTGAACAGCCAGCACACAATGATCCACGCTTAGCATGGTAGTGCGTTTCGCAATAGGGCAAACCTTCGTGATCGAAAAATGAGCCACCCTGGAAAGGTTGTCGGCAATCCTGCAATTAGAGAAGAAATGATTGAAATGTTAAATAAATTTTTAAAATAGAGATGGATGGAATACAAATTTTGTGTAGAAAAATCTTGAAGACTCTGCTAGGCTATGGAATAAAGTTTATTATGACGCATAGATATATACCTAATCTACTATAGAGAAAATTTAGTGGGCATAATTAGAATAGTTAAGACATATCATTAAATTAGACGGCTTAAATATGCAGCGCCATACATAAAGTAATCAGTCAAACTAAATGTGAGATTGTCAATTATAGACATCTTTACGTTTCATTATAATATATTACCAAATACAAAATAAGACTTTCCCTCTCAGAACGAGATGGCACACTTTCAATGCGTTCAAGCTTTATTTCATCAAAAGAATGAAATGAGATTTTTATCAAAAGTGTATAGTATGTACATAACATTTTAATTATTCATCGAATGTCAATCATAAATGCAAATGGGTTGAAAGCATTGTGTAATCTAGTCAATTCTGTTTTATAAACATCAGTTATTGCAATACTTATTTCAACATCTTCCATTCTGTTTATAGAAATAACTTAATATTATATAAACAACAAGTATGTATATTTGGACGAATGCTTCAAATATTATCCAGATGAATGCATAACTCAATTTGGAATCAATTTGGGCGTGAATAATGTGTCGGGGGAAAGGGGTCGAAACCAAATAAATAGAACATATGATTTTCTAATTAATTAAAATGTAAAGAAAATTCTAATAAATTTTTAAAAATGAGACAACCCAACGGCTGCTGACAATTATAATCGTGGGCAGGCCGCTGGGATTGTTGTTGCGTATTGTATTATTGAGAATTGCATTTCTTAATGGCTAAATACTACAAATACGAATACATATTCTATTTAAAATAGCACTGCAATAAAGAAGTTTTGTTAAACAAATGTGCGACATTCTTTCAACAAATCATAGAATTGTCTAAAGAGGAAAATTCGACAATTAAATACACTCTCAGATTATAACACTGAATTGTGTGTCAATTCCAGCCAAGTGAATTAGTACGAATAGCAAGTTAAAGAAAAAGAAATATCTATATATATATAAAAATCAATTGTTGTTTGTTGGTAACGGAATCAGTTGGAAACGGTTGGACCGATTTGCATAATTTTTTGTACAAACGTTCGTCATACCCCGAATTAGGTTTTTAAAGAAAAAATATTACGCCCACTATTATGATTTATCTAAAATCTTTATATTTGCCAAAATAGTGAAGATATCGGTTTGAGAATTATTACACGAGATGCTGTTGGTTTTCCATCCAACTCTAAGTACTTATTTAGGGGCTGAGGAACGCGCCTACTTTTAAATCAATCTATCTATATGTAAAAGAAAGTTGTGTTAGTTACTACTCTTATAACATAAAGACCGTCGGTCTGATTTTAACGATTTAGACAAATTCGGAATTGCCTCTTGGCAGAAAAGAATAAAATCCAAAAAAATCGCGTAAAAATGTGAAATTTGAACATTTTCATTTTGACTTTTAAAATGTACAATAGTAATGTTTTATATTGCATATTTTTTCCATTTTGACTTACTATTTTCGAATGTACATTTGTAGAGTTTTTTTTTTTTTTTTGGAATTCTAATATGATGTGTAGGTTTTTTTTGGGTAGTATAAAGCCACTACGGATAAAACTGTTATTTATAGATTTTATGTATTTATTCGTAATACCACATTAGTATACCCCCAAGTCCACTTTCCCAACCAATGTGTGGTCAGAAAAGAAAATTTGGTATTCTATTGAATTTGTAACCCCCAAGAGAATATTGTTGGGAACGTAGATTTGGGATGTTCGTCTATATGAAATAAACTCCGAAATATCAATCTGGAACTCATTCAGTCGGAAATTGTGGCAGAAACATGAAAAATATACGAAATTATAAAGTAACTTTATTGGATCTCCACCAAACAATTTAAATGACCAACAATTAATGCCCATCTTACGGTAATCGGAGCAAAAGAGTATTTTTTTGGCTATTCTGACAACTTTCTGCCTTCAAGTATGAGGTGAACAAAACTGAATACCACGCAGTACGAGATTTTAAATGTTGGAAATACAAATTTCAAATTATAGCTCATTTGAATGCTTTTTACAATATCAAAAATTGAGCTGAATTTTCGCATGGGGCGGTAATTATAATTTTTTTTTTTTGAATATTAATTTATACTTAATCATGGAGTCATTAATCATAATCAAGTCATTACTTATAATCAAAATCGTGCCGCCTACATAAGTCAGATCTGTGATTTATTAAACTTTAAAGACTAAAAGTACGGGCCGGCAACGCGGACCGGGCCAGCTAGTATATTTATAAAACAATATACCAAATGATCAGATTTTTGATTTTTCTTATTCTTCGAAAAAGAAAACCCCATGAAACGGTAGTAAAAGAGTACAACTTGCTACGTCAAAATAAATATTAAGATGAATCGGCTCATTAATCTTAAAAATTAAAATCAGAATGGCTTTTGGATAGTTACATAAAATAATTTGGCTATATGAAAACAGACAGACAACAGATATATACAGCGGATTAAATTATAAAGAAATTATTTAACTGATCCAAAGAATATAACAAAAATTTCCGACAACCAAAAATAGAACTTTCTTTTTAATTAAAACAAAATGTGAAAACAACACTGAATTTTAAACAATTTTTTAAATGACGTTTATGTTTTTTTTTGGGCTAACTGCACAATAATGATTAACTTTGTGTCTTAAATTAAGAAAATGGACTAATACTGCATGTGGTTATGACAGTTGTAAATAATATATCATCTTCGTCTAATTTTAACAAGATTAGTCCAATAGAAAGGAAGATAATATAAACAATTGGGAACAACGACAGACAGATTGATGACCGACAATAGAAAAAGGCAAACACTCACCCACAAGTTTAGGAAGCGATAAATCGCAACATAAAACAATACAACCAAATAAATATTGGGTGGGGGCACAACATTGCCACAATGAACCTTTGCTGTGACGTCACCTCCAAGAAAAACTGATTTTCTTGGCAAATTAATAATAGTAATTAAAAAAAAACTTACTAGGAAAATTACAACGAATAACGAGATGGCGCCAAATGGAATAATAATTAAACCAAAACAATATTGTATTTCGAGAGAAAATCACATCATATACAAATATGATGTAAGTTTCTATTTCAAACAGAAAACAAAACACCCACACACTAATACCACCAACAGTAGCAACAGCAGCGTTTGGCTCTAGGTGGATACATCCACACAGGGTCTTGAGGAAAACCAAGTGCGATGACGCACCTTTGCAAACACCTGGCAATACATGACCATGTAAAAGGTCATGTTTTCCTGGCAAAAGACTGAAGACCCTCGTCAAAGCCAAGGCCCAATTTATATCTTAGGCCCGCATACCAGTTTGCCATTGTGTGTATGTGTGTGTTTTTTTGGTGTTTTGGATTTGTTTATGTTTTTTTTGTTTATATTTTGTGTTTTTTTCTATATTTTTTTTTTTAATATTTTATTTACAAATAAATAAAATTACAATATTGTTTATAGTTTAATTATTAAAAAAGAGAGATAATAATGATTATGTACCTATACTTAAGACTAATTTATAAAACTGTTCAATGGGCTGTTAGCATTTTTAAGAAATCTTCAAGTTCTGTATTAAAGAATGGGGGAAACAAAGTGGTGTTAGAGGGAGAACAAATGGGGGACATTGAAAGTGTTTGTTACACACACTTTCAGAGGCATAATGAGGTGCATAGACATCATTATCATGATCATAGCCCCGACACATACAGGAGGTCAACTCTCCACGGTGGGGAGAGTCGGCACAAGTGTATTGGCGGGGCAGGGGGACTAAAGACGTGGGAGACCCTTTTATGAAATGACCTCTTGCTGGAACTTGATACACAATAAGGATTTTGTCCAGAAAATAGAATTTCATGTTGTTCACTTCTCGCTTTGCTCCGTTTCTTCTACAACATTGAAGATTTTGCGTAGGCGCATAGTGATTCGTGTCATTGATGACATGGTGTTGTGTTATGGCCGTCGCTGTTGTTGTTTTCGACTCTATTTCTTAACAGAAATGTATGTGAAGAAAATGCCAACAAAAGTTAGATGTTGAGTTCGACAAGATTTTTTAAAAATCTCATCTTCCAAATTTCTTGCAGAACAAAAACAAATACATTGAAAGTTAAAAATGAAAATATTTGATAGCGACAAAGAAAAACAATGAAATTCTATATTGGAATTTATTCCTCTTCATCGACGCCCACACAGGTTGGACAGACGGGTTTACCCTCCATGGCGTAGAAAGATTTGCCCCTGACGGGTTTTTTGCAATCCTATAAAAGAGTCGAATCAAAACGGAAATAGAAGTTCAAATCAATGCATTCCACAATTCGAAGCGAAGCAGTCCTAGCGAAGAAAGATCACATCATAGCAATAGCAGCGAAGGCAAACTTACCCTGCAGACAAAGCAGTCGGGATGCCATTGGGAGTTCAAGGCAGAGATGTAGTTCTCCATGATGGCACGGTTGCAGCCATTGCACTTGGGAGCGAACATATCGAAATAATCGTTGCGGCAGTAGGGTTTGCCATCACGTTCATGGAAGCCATCTTCACCGAATTGCTGGCCACATTGGGCACAGAAGAAATGTTCCGTGTGCCAGGTCTTATCCAGGGCAGTTACGCATTTCTAAAAGATTGGGGGGAAAATATTAATTGAATTCCTGACGTAAAGTTTTTTTCCAGAGTAATTACATCCAAAATGGCTCCATTGCAATAGGCACAGCGGGGGCTGAACAAGTTGTGGTAGTCCTTTTCGCAGTAGGGGAAACCATCGCGTTCGAAGAAGTTGCGTGTGCCCAATTCCTCGTTGCAGTGGTTGCAAGTGAAGTGCTCTGGATGCCAGGTCTTGCCCAGGGCAGTAATCACTTGACCCACAATGGGTTTCTCGCAGGCATTGCAGCAGCCCTTTTGTACAGTGTTGACACCTTGACGATTCATATTGGCCTGAAGGCTTCCTAGCATAGAATCCAACTGATCCGGTTGATTGTCTTCTACGACGGTAGAAGTTGTGGTTTCAGTAATGGTCTGAGTTAGATGTGAAGTGCCCTTGTTGGGTTTGGCGTAGTCCGTTATTGTTTGGTGATAGTGGTTGGAACCGTTGTTCACCTAAAACAAGACAAATACAACAGAATCGGAATTAGTAACGATACAAACTTGATGACAATTTATCAAACATTATTTTTTTGTTTCTTTTTTGAAATAATAATTTTCCATCGAAATCGATGGAAAACAATTTGAGTATCCTCCTGATGGCTCTTACGTTAGTGTTCTGGCTGGTCTGCAACGTTTGACGAAGATTCTCAAACTGAAAATACTTTTATGTAGTTCTGGTCTCAAAAACTTTTCAATATACTTTCTATTCTTCGTGGTGGTTCGTCATCTTCGTTGACGCTGTCGCGTCGTGCACACAAAGATCCGTTTCAGCTCGTTTCAAAAAGAAAAAATCTCACACACATTTTCAAATTTCAAGAAAAGCTAAAAAGCGTTGTGGTGCTCTTTGCACACGACGTTTGTCTATGTTTGCGCCAGAAGACACGGTCCATTCCTATGTTTGTTAGTTCGTCCGTCCCTCCGTCCATCCATCCATTCACTAGCTTTGGATGCTGCCAAAAATATATATGAAAATTCGATTTTCAACACGTATGTGTGTGTGCGTGTTTTGTAAATCGCACATACATACGAACTCATAGGAACCAGAAACAGATACAGTTGGTGGGCAAATAATACACGGTGCGGTCGTACGCACTTTCAGTTTTCCTTTCCTTCACGGTGTTGTGTAGGTGAAATTTTTCTTTTCTTTTTTGCGGAAAATTCGACAAAAGTCTGTGGCAGTGTATGTGTGAGGGTGTTTGTGTTGATCGCCGTCGTTGTTCAGTCAAACTAGATTACTATGTCTGTGCACATGTATGTGTGTGTGGCTGTGTATTTAGCCTAATTAGATGAAATGAGGTTTCTGGTAGCAAAAGCAAATTTTTGTATAAATTTGGCAAAAATACACAAATAGGGGGCTTGTTGTCCGAGAAATGATGAGATCGTTTGGGTAGAAATTATAATTCGAGTGTATGGCATTCTATTTTAGTCAAGATCTGCAGAAACCACTCAAACAATGGGGAATAAATTTTGTATCGATTCAAACAGAGCAGCCTATCTGGGATGTTAATAATATAAGTGATATGTGTGTATCGTGATACTGGAACTAATTATGCTGACAGGGAATCGGAATCGAAAAACTTGGGCAGCATAACTTTGCCCATGCAAGCCAATCATAACTCATTAAGTTCTGAGGAACCGAAAATCGGGGAACTGAAATTGCAACTTATCCTGATTTGTCCTCAAAATGTTTTTTTTTTTCGATTATGGGCGAAAAATACTGAATGTAAATATGAGGTAGCTAAGCTTGTATGTTTCGTCAGAAGGGGGAAATCGATAGATTTTTACAAAGGGTGTTTGTGGGCTAGTCGTTTCAGGGAAGCTTAATGCTTGGTTGCTTTCGATCATCATTAGATGGAATAGTGACAAAGACAGGCCTACAGGACATCTTCGATCTACTCAGAGAACATTGCAGACTGTGTCAAATGCAATGTTGAATATAGAGATGCGTATTGGGGATGCTGTTATCCTGAGAAAAGGAAGTTGCCTTCTCACATTCGCACTCTGTAACTATTAACAGCCGATAATCAATTTCGCAGTGTTTGAAATTTGCATTGCTGCGGAAGTTTTACTATCCATACAAGTTTAAGAAGAGGGTATAGGTACTATTACACATTGAGAGAGCTGAAGGACATCGAAGGAGAAATTCTAGCCCGGGGGTTGATATTGACTAAGCTGTTATTTACAGAATACAATAGTGATACCGACGTTCTTAAATCTGTTTAGTATCGGGACAATGTTGTTGGCATGGTACAATTACCAAGGTAAAGTCATGCTATCCTACGATTACAATTTTTTATATCCTACACCTTGGAAAGGAGGGTATATTAACTTTGTCATTCCATTTGTAACATCCCTAAATATTCGTCGTAGTCCCCATATTTCCCTATATTCGGTATTTTGATAATTTTTGCCACATTTTTTCACGGATTTGTCTAAAAATTGGTATTTGTAGTTCATAGTGGGTTCTAGCTCCGGTGGCGGAATATAGTATATATAGGTCCACGTTTTGGTATAGACCCCATATAACGGCATCTTCCGATATTCGGAATTTTGATGATTTTTGACACATTTTTTTTACCGATTGGCCCAAAAATTGGTATTTGTAGTTCGTAATGGGTTCTAGCTCTAGCTCTAGTATATATAGGTCCACGTCCACGGTATAGCCGTCATAAAACGGTACCTCCCGATATTCGGTATTTTGATGATTTTTGTCACATTTTTTACGTATTGGAAATTGGTATTTGTAGTTCTAGCTCCGGTGGCAGAACATTGAATAAATAGGTGTACGATTTCCTATAGCACACATACAACGATACCCAGCGATATTCGTATTTTGAAAACCTAGCCATATTTATCCACGAAATTGTTTAAAATTTGATATTTAAGAAGATTTGGTAGATGAAAATCCTTCGAGTACAAAATTCTCTATAGAGGTTCCCAGGGCCATACCCTATGTAACGCATCATCCACTTTATGTTCTTACTGGTATTTGTAATTTAAAGTGGGACACGTTTTAATTCAGATATTTTATATAAAAATGTTTACTTTATCCTAAGGTGGAGGGTATTAAAAGCTCTGCACGGCCGAACTTAACGTTTTATTTTTACTTATTTGTTTTATGTCCCTTCACTGTCAAATTTATATTTTGTATTTCTACAGCTGGCCAAAATTTCGCATTTATTTCCGACCAAATATTTTGTTATTTAGTGGGAATACAAGTCAAGGAAGAATAAAATCTTAAACAGAAAACAAAAATATTGGTCTGATAAGACATGTAATGCAAGCCACACACGATACAACTGGTTGTACAACTAGGAGAATACTCAAATTGTGTGTTTCTGTCACCAACCGAACAACTTAGTGTACAACCTCTTTGTACAACTTCACTTTTCGTAGAGTTTATTTGAGTTGAGATGACACCGGAAAAATTCATGCTCTATAATTGACCCAATAGCTTTTATTTATTATTAATTTTTGAAATTCCATTTTAAAATTGAAACACCATTTCATATATACATAAACACAAAATGAAATTGAATGCGACATGCGACAACGTTACAGGCGGTAGGTACAACATACCAAATATCAAAAAATTTTGATTTGTTGTACAACCGAGACACAACATCGTACAACCGGGCCACAAACGATGCAATCTTGAATACAACCTCTCCAAATTGTACAACCAGTTGTATTGTGTGTGGCTTGCATAAGACTTAATTTATGATAGAATAAAGAAGGTAATGTCATGCAATCATATGTTTCGCCTAGGACATTGAATTTATTGAAGGAAATTGTAAGCGTAGGTTTTCGTTTTAGTACAGAATCCAAGTAGCAGGTATTGTAAAGATTTTGGCAACACTGTTAGGCTGGTAATTCTGGGGATTTTGAACCTTAAGTCCGCCTGAAAATAAAACGCTTTTCCAAGCCTACACAAGAACTAAAATCACCGAAAAAATATCCTTAAAATGAAGAGTTAAAAATCTCTGTATGTGTATCGGTATGTATGTTTAAACCCAAGAACATATAAATAATGGTCATGGTCTTCCTAAGATCTGGATCGTAAAACTGTTTTTGCGTGCAAAGAAACGCCAAAAATAAGAGATTATAGGTAGATATGAAAATAAATTTTATATGAAAAAAGACAAGGTCCAGTTCGTTAGAAAATGCTTGCCATATTCGATTTGACAAGCGAGCCTTCCTCTATTGTTTTGCCATGGTTGTTTCCATATACAGATCTCGAACATTTTAATAAAGTAATTAATAAGTTCTGCTTGTATCTAATTAATGCCCAATTTTGATTTAAACGAATTGCCTGTCTGTTCAGGGATCGGCAGTTACATCGTGTCGTCGAACTTCTTTCCTACTCCTATCAAAGTAGGCAGGCATCAGCATTGATGTAAAAGGAAATTTCCGAAAAGCATTAAGGGTTTTAGGATGTTTAATGGAACTAAGCTATCCCGATCCCTCCCAATTCCAGCCTACAGAAGTATCTTCTTCCTATGAATTCTATAAATAATAAACATGAAGGAAACTTAACTCAATAATATCATAGAATGTTCTGGATGTAGATAAAAAGAACGGAAACCAATAAAAATCCATTTCCATATCTACTTCAGTTCATATACAATCCAATGATTTGTTTTTCTTTTCGTACGAAGGTCATGAGCAAACATTCACCACTTCCGTGGTAAATAGACTCATTATATGTTTCTTTTTTCCTGCTGCTGGTCGGGGTGTATTTAAAAATACAAAAAAAACTCAATGAAAACTGTTAGAACAAAACAAGAATTATTTCGGAATGGTTTATCTTCTTCTAATCCCAGAGAACGCCTACCAATCTATTTATGACCCTCATCGTTCATCAATAAAATCATTGAATATGTTGAGGAGATTTGCACACCATCATGTCGACACCGCAAATGTACACTTGATAATTCAATTATGCGAATTATGTTCCTTATTAATGGCTGAAATAATCAGAATTCCCAAACAACATAACAAATTGTGAACATTCTGTCTTCAAGGTATTCAATATTCGATACTGTTAATTTCACGATGACAGCCAACAGTATCGTCGAAATCGATGGGAGTAAAACATGTCGGAAATTATGGTATTTACGATCCCACAGATTTAAAAAAAAAAAAATATTATAATTTTGAATTCTTATTTTGACTTAAATAAAAATGTAATGCAAAACAGCATTTAAAATCAATTAAAAAAAAATATATATATTATAAGTCAACAGATACAAGGAATTCCCCGCACACAAAAAATACCATAAATGAAAAACACTTTTCAAAAGACATGCCAAAAACAACTGCTGTCGCTGGTTGCTGCGGCACCAATATAAGCCCGAAGATGCTGACGAGGAAAGTCACATTTTCTCCGGTGGCACACGTTACTCTAAAAAATTTGCAAAAATTTATTTATTGCCTTTTAATGTTCCAAAACACAGAACTCGTATCAAAAACAAAATAAAAAATAACATTTCAATGTTTGAGGATCGTGGTGTGAGTGTGTGTCAGTGGGTGTGGGTGTGGGGGGTTTGGGGGCAGGGAAACGGAAATCATTCCGTTCATTGAAAACAAACAAGTAGATGTTTCGAGACATCGACAATGAACCGACAGACGACCGAACGGCTGGTCAATGCCGAAACCTGCCAAAAGCGTTGTGTTGAACATGATTTTTTTGGAATCGCACAAGTTTCCACAATATTTTGCCAAGACGCCAGATTTTTTGTGTTTTCTTCTTCAACAGATGAAGGTTACAAACTCATGTTAAAACTTAACGAAGGCGAAGACGCCGGTTGGTGGACTGAAGGAGGTTTTCTTTGAACAGTCGATACTAGACCAGCCACAAAACCGTAATATTATCGTCCCAGTTTTAACTAGCAATGGGTTTTGAAAATAATATTTTCTTGCCAATTTATTCACGGTCAACGGACGCGGTCATCAATTTCTGACACTGAGATGATTGCAAAGACAGCGAAAAAAAAGAAAATAACAACCTCATTTTCTCAGTACGCTTCTTCAATGCCAATGAAACAGAAATTATAATAAAGATAAGAAAATTGAGAAAATCAAATCTAATTAAATGGAAAAAGAATATTGCCGCAGGCAATATTCGAAGCGGAAGGATCATCTACACTGTGCCTCATCACAAGATGGAGAACATTTTGCTATCTATTCAGATAAATTGGTCGGAAACTAATAAAGAAAAGGCGGAATTATATTTATATTTGCTATGGTCATCGTAAGGATAACACCTAAAAATTACAGATTACAGTCTTCCTTTCTGGTGCATCTGGAAATTCGGACGCATTTGAATCCCACTAAAATAAACAAATTGTAGCCGGCATGCGTCAACGCCTGGCCTGTGGAGACTTCTTTAAGAAGAATAACAAGAACTCCAATTCCACCATGGCAGCCTTGGTCGACATAAATACTATGATGCTGGAGTCATTCCATGATGCTCTCGCGACTATGTAATTTCCTCTATCGTCACCGGACAGTGTTCCATAGAGGAAACTGTGTAACCTGCCCAACTGTCTCAGATCTGCTTTGGCTTCTGGTGATTTTTAAGAAATCTAAATGCTTCTCGACCACTTGAGAACGAAAGTAGTTGCCTATGCCGACGATGGTAGTGCTGATAAATTGTCTATTTTCAAAACCGTTGCGGACCAAATGCAAACTGCACCTCAGTGCATCACAGTGATATGGGAGTAAACCCGGCTAAGACTGGACTAGGTACTATACACATACAAAAAATCACAAAGTTGATAACTTTCCGCTGCCAGTACACTGTATACTTTTGTACTATTTTAGGAACGCCAAGGGTAAAAGTTGGGTACAGATCACATAGAATGTTGGGTACAGATCACATAGAATGTGCATCACGCCGGTCAAATTCGTTTTTTATTCAGTTTCACCTTTGAGTGTCAAATCAGGTCACATGCAATTAAACCCAAATCGATTCTGTTCAAATCAAGGGCCAATTTCTGCATGACAGTATAGAGGTTAACAAACCTCTGGTTAAATTGGCCGATTTTCAAACCACTAGAAGTGGGCTGAGATTACGTGAAGGAGGAATATCTTAGTTGCGGGGACAAACTTAGTGGTAACATATTTACCTTTTTCGATATTCTATAACGTAGCTGTAGTAAAATCTAATCGTCATGTTTAGGCTAGTGTCTATTATACCGACAATTCTAAAATATTTGATTCGCATTAAATTCGTCATTAAATCCAGATCCAAATTAGAGACACCTTTGTTGTCTCACATGACCCAGCTAGACTCTAATACACCCAGATAATCTATTACATCGGTTGTTTTAAGAAGGCCTTCTCCGAAGAAGCTTTCTTTAGATGATCCTGTCCGTCCGTCTGTCTGGCCGGTTGATGAGCCCTCGAAGGAAGTAGTCTTTGGGCCAAACTTGGTACATAAAACTGGGTCATGGTTGAAAATGGGCAATACTTCTGCAGTCATTTCTGTACCTCCTCCACAAAAGGTGACAATTGTTAATGAAAATAAATCCCTTAAACTGGGATATAAATATTTGATTTTTTTTTTTTTTTTCGAAAAAAATATAAAAAAATCCAAACGGGTCGAGTACACTTTATTTTATTTTGAACCTGTCTGCATTCTCTGAAAAAAAAAAACTGCCGTAGTTTTATGATATTAAATATCAGGGTTTTGTTGGATACAGGCAGAACCATTAGCTCTGATCCATATGTGAGTGAGACTTTGCAAAAACCTAATACTCCTGGGGTTATTTTTCTGAACAATAATCTATGGCAGCGTAGATAACCGTGCTATTACAAAGTGCCCTTCCATGCAATCCCACGCTGAAGTTTTCTAAAACATTTTCTATAGTCAATTTATTGACCCAACATTCATTTAATTTCAGAAGGTTACTTAGCAGGAAACCTTTGATGTAGGACGAAATCGTGTCGGGTATTAGGATAACATTTCGCACTTTTTTGTTTAAGTCTAAAAAATAAACATTAAAAACAAAAAGAAAAATAAAAAAACAAAAACGAAGCAACAACAATAACAGCAATATCATGCACACATTCACACACAATTTATGCTAAAAATATAGCAACATTTTTAATGAAAAACTATATTTAAAAAAACACGAGCGGCAATATTTTTACTCCGCGCCATCCGAGGGGGAGGAGTGGGGGAGAGTGTAATATTTCGACAAACGACAGAGCTTATGATCGCTATAATATTGGCTGTGCCGGTGCTGGGCGGTGGTGATGATGATGATGACGCTGCTGACGTGATGTTGCTGTCCGCAGTTGTATTCGATTTAATAATGGTGGCCGTGTGCAATATTGTTTATATTTCTATCGTCCATTATTTATTGCCAAAATTTGTATCATTGGCTAATAACGAGCGGTCGGTCGGTCGGTCAGTTGCTGTCTTTTAATCAAGAACAACAAGCAACAAAAACACAGCAACAACAACAGGAGGGTGGGTGGACTCTGTTTGGATTGTTGCGCTAGCTAAATAGATATTGCCTTCGCCTGTTGTCTGGGACAAAAACACGAGGAACGGCCAGACATTTGTTTATACATAGAACTTGCCGCGTGCTCCTAACCCGTTACATCCATTCATTGGTTCTGTACGTTTAGAGGTCGTAAATATATTCTCGCATTTACAATTTTATTTTTTGTTTTGTTTTCCCCTTTGGAATATTAGCCAAATCAACGTCAAAGTCGGAAAAGTTTATTGGGTGGTGCGCACATGACTTTACTCGGCTAATATTGTAGAGTGTGCACCACCACCATCCATATTTGGAATAATGAGGTCTAGCGAATAAAGCCTACACTTTCGGCAGAAATATTATCGGCCGACAGCAAAATTCAAATAGTCGCACATAGTATTCTCACAAAATCATTGTCAAGGACAGCGTGTATGTAAGTCAATCAAGATTTCTCGATCAAATCAAAATTTGAAATTGGTCTGTGGCAAGAGAGATGGTTGCTTTGGAAATATAGGAATCGAGCTAAATGTCGTGTAACTCGTAACTGTATTTAAGATATGACCAACCAATTCCGGGACTCGCTTAGTTTTTACAATTGTTTTTTTTTTTTTTTTTTTTTTTTTGTGGAAGATACCTCCAATGATATTAAATCAAGTTTTATGAAAATATTATGTTGAGCAACGCTAGAAGCAAAAAGGGGGATCCATCGCTTAAATGTATAAGACTTGGCCAATTTCGAACAAGACTCAGTACCGGTATCATAATGTGTACAAGACCTTCATTCGAGAGTTGCCGTGTATCCGGAAATATAATAATAGAAATAAAAAAATTATATTTGTCATAACTAGAATGGGAGATTTTATAGTACCTCATCGAAAGGTTTGGTTAAATGTCATATAATGGTACCGTGGTAAATTGAATCGATTTTTATTTGCTATATATTCATCAATTTAATATTTGGTCGAACAACATATATTTCACCACACAGCGGCTCATCCAATATGTTTCATTCAATAAATATGTTTCATTCAATTTCATTTTTAAGTCTTCTAAAGGTTCTAATAGGGATGTTCCATCCGATTTCAAATACGCATATAGTAACGGTTGTAGTTGGTATAAGTTACATTAGACAAATTCCCAATACCGAAACCGCAATGAATCATTGAAATGGATGTTAACATTAAATCCCCAAAAAGTGACAAACTTCAATTTCTACGGTTTCCTTGTAACATGATTATTCAATTCCTTGTCATTTCTCTAAACTCTAGATAATTATTTAATTTATTTAATATTTACTTTCTTTCAAATAAATAATATTTATTTGAGGCCATTAGTAGCCATGTTTAACATGAAAATAAATACTTCATAACTGAATGAATTAATAGCGTTCGTAATTGATTCGATGATGATATAAATAATGTTGATGTGTCTAATCTAGCGTGAAAATTTAATGGGGATATCAAAAAGAATCATGGCTGAAGTGTGAAGGTAAATAAATCCGTCGGTAGATATCGTTGAACGGATCAGTTAGCATCTAAAAGTGGCCAACGCACATACATATATATGTATAGAATACATTGACATTGGCGACATTATTTTAGATATTCACAAAATCTTGTCACCAAATAAAGCGTATAGGTGACAGATTTACAGCCATATATTTTTATAAAAAAGTTTCAATGAATAATATTCCAAGTTTAAAAGTTTTCGTTTACGAATAAAACAAAGCTAAATTCAAAGAAATGTATCCATTTCTAGATTATATCAAGAAAAGTTGTGCATATATTAATTAAATCGTCCCTGGACAGACAGATCTACACTTATATGTGTCACCTTAGGGGAATATTTCGAGAGGGGATCCTCTCGACGAAAATCGAACATTTAGCAAATGAATCGAATGATCCAATACTCCCGCCATTCTGTGGTGGTGCGTTAAACAAAAATTCACAGACACGATATTTATTAATGCATGCAAGACAAATAAATATTTCACAAAATCCAAATTACTAATGTTTATATAATAATCTATACCGATCCCCATATGAAATATTTATTTTCAAAACATTTCATTTGTATGTCATCGTGAAAACGTTTCATTGTATGTGTGCATAAATATTATATAAATTATTATTATTATTAAGGTTTGAAGAAAAAAAGACACATTCATATTTCTGTATATTTTATCCTTGGTTGAAGGTCATATAAAATTAATTATATTAAAAAATATATATATGACAATGAGAAAATAAAATCCATATAATTTTTGCATATGTCTATCATTAACTTTTTAAGTTGTTTTTCCTATAACATTTATACATATATGGTATATTAACCAAGCACCGAGCGTACGTACCCATAGAGACATTGGTCCCAATGTGGGATATAGTTGGTAGTAGGATATAGTTGGTACTCCCATCAAGCATCAGACACTAGAGACTGAACAACTTGAAACCGGTTGGTTTTTCCGAATTTTTCATCAGGGGACAAGTTTTTGCATTCGATATTGTAAAATTTCAATCAAAATGAGATTGTGTATATGCATTTGGTTTTAATTAAGTTGGAATACTTTGTATCGAAATTGTTATTTAAATCAAAACAAAATGTACATATGTTCACTGCTACAGCTGGCCGACATAACCGTAACGAGCGCATATTCATGGGATTAAGCAAAGCAAACCGAAAGTATGTCCTGAACCTTAATTACTCAAATGTCCACTGCTGCCCCTCTCATGTTTAAGAGAGGCTAAAAACAACTAAGGCCGGATATACTCGGAGCGATATAAGAACTAGAAATCTGGCGGACAACCATGAATGCTATAATATTAATATACTGCAACAAGTAAAAACACACGTAATAGTTGTTCAGCCATTACAAACTCAAAACCAACCAAAAATGTGACAAGGACTTTCCAAACACCAACAATTGAGGGATACCGATCCATTGCAACAATTCAAAAACATTTAAAAAAACGGGCATTACTTCTATTTGAAACCTTTGTTAAATTACGTATACAATGAGGACCGACATTACCAAATTCTGCCAACCGATTCTGTTTAAAATTGAATTAGTTTATATTCTCATACAACCCAAGACGCCAAATTGTAACGCGCCTCAACTTTTCAAGATTCTTCAAATCCGAAGGTACCGTTATACGGAGCTCATTTGGTCGAAAATTATGGCTATGACATTTAAAATACCGATAATCAGGTTTTGCAAAAACATAGGTTGATATAGCCAATTTCCAGTACTAACCATCCAAGACACAATACATTTGTTGTCAAATTTCAAAGCTCTACATACATAAGCAGAGCAGAGAGACTATACTAACCAAGGATTTATAAACAATTCAATGTATCCGCCCACAGAGATTGAAATTAGCATCGGGGCTGGGGCAAGCACTTACGACTTAAATCGATGTGGAGAGTATTGTCCTGAAAACGAAAACGCGTATTTTAGATCGATTCGATAAAAAAAGTTTCACCGCCAACTCAGATTGCTTAAGTGTTTATAATAGTTTTTTTTTGTTCGGTTTTTGCTTTTCTTTATTTTTTGAGATTTATTATTGAGATTATTAATTACTAGCTGGCACGGTCCGCGTTGCCGGCATGTACTATTAATCTTTGATGCATCACAGTTCTGACTTGTGCAAGCGACACAATTTTTATTATAAGTAATGACTCCATAGTCACTTCTAAATTGAAATAAATATTCGTGGCAAAAATTATAATAGATGTTCACCCACGGCTGGTGTTAGATATTTCGTATAGCCTGATCTTATTTTTCAGCCATAGGCTTTAATTTGAGTGTTAAAACCCTTTATGATATAGAACATCTATAATAGCCCCATGTGAAAACTCAGCTCATTTTTTGGCATTGTAAAGGGCTTAGCAAGATTTTCCATTCAAATGAGCTGTAATTTGAAATTTGTATTTCCAATGTTTAGAATACCGTCCTGCGGGGTATTTAGTTTTGTCCAACTCATAATTGATGGCACAATGATTTCAGAATAGTCAAAGATAAAAAAATGCTTATGTGGGCAATAATCTGTAGGATGGTTCTCTATCCCAGGGTTTAGCCAAGTCAATTGATGAATGTGGTCAAGACCAGCATGGGCCCTACTCTGAAAACTTAATATTGTATGCGAAGAGGTTTTCTACCCCCGTAGAAAAAAAGATGCCAAATAAGGACCAAAAAATGAAAAAAGTGGCCAAGACCCCCCGGAAGTAGCTTAAATCACATGATGGTTATACCAAAACGTGATCGGTTTTGCAAGGATGGTTTCTTCTCAAATTACCAATATTTGACGATATTAGTTTGAAAAATGTGGTTAAAATGTAAACTATGCTTGAAATCGGGTTGTACCCTTATCCGACCTGCAAAAGCGATTTATGTTATTAAGAAATCCTTTTCCTACTAAATATCCAAATTCACTCTACTATTTTGCACCCTCTATATACGGTATTTCACAGATTGCAGTCTCAATGAATTTGCATTTTGAGTTCTCATTGGACGAATTATTGTCAGTGGAAAGAAGAAGGTCCACGTTTTGAAATAAGTCCCGTAACGCGTTGTCGCTCATTTGTTCGCACGATGTAGGCCATGGAATTGAAAGCTAGATGCCAATGTTAGACATGAAAGATCGCCAAAAAGATTTTTTCATTCATATTTTTATTGGCATATTTTTAAGCGATTTTTTGCCAATTGTATGAATTGTCAAAGTCCGTCAAACCGTTCTGCAGTTATATCGTTCTTGAGTTATATATTGTGAACATCATTCTTTATTTTGTTCACAAAAAACGACCGAATTCAATATATCAAGCCAAATTGATTTTTTACAGCAAATGTTTAAAGGTCCTTACGAAGTTTGTTAATATTACACACTATTATTTTGAAATTCGATTCCATTGAAAAGCATTTCTCGATTTTTCCCCCCCATTTTTGAATTTTTGCAGTGAAGTCTCTTTTTCGTGATTTTTTTTTGCGATTTTAAAAAAGTAATTATTCTTTAACTTTTATTTCGACATCATCCATTCAGTCTCGCCACCACATAATTCGGTACGACACTGCAATGTAACACGCCTGCAATTTCAGTTTTCAATTAAATAAAGTTAATCAAATTGAAAACACCGTTCATACACGGTAAAATAATGCTGTTTATACCCTTCACCACAAGGTGGTCAGGGTATTATGTCTTTGTGCATTTGTTTGTAACAGGCAAAAGGAAACGAGATAGACCCATAGTTCCTTTTGATGATCTGTATAGAATCACATTCTGAGTCGATTTATGCATGTCCGTCCGTCTGTCCATGTATTTTTGTAAACAAAGTACAGTCCGCATTTATTGCCCGATCCAGATGAAATTTTGCACAAATCATTTGTTTGGCCCAAGACGAACTCTATTGAAATTGGAGATAATCGGTAAAAAATTAGTTATAGCTCCCATTTATGTCTTCGTCCGATTTGCCTTTTATTGTGCACCAAACGTGTAATATCAGCCCGAATAGTATGGAATTATGCACATACAACCAAATAAGTATGCCAAATTTGATCGAAATCGGTTCAGATATAGCTATAGCTCCCATATATATTGTTCATCTGATTTGTTATTTTTGTCCTCCGCACTCTGTAACAACAATATTTGGGGAAATATATCAAATGCAGCTCAGAAATACCTTTGCTAAATTTTATCGAGATCGGTTCGAATTTGGATATAGCTTCCATATGTGCACCAAACGTCCAAATGGGATGAAATTTGGCACATGCGACCGAATTGAATCTAGAAGCTAGTATGCCAAATTTGATGAATATCGGTTCAGATATAGCTATAGCTCCCATATGTATTGT